ACACTTCACAAGTAAGATTCACTTCTCGACTTCATGCAGTGATTAAACTGAATTATGATATTCCTTTTCCAAATGCAAAATGCAAGGATACAAAAATCCTGATTCATAGAAAGTCTTAGAAATAGGATCCTACTACTGAGAAGCAGAGTAGAAGTACCAGACAGACTCTTGATCAACATGAATCAAGCCTGTCATTTAAGAACACATACAAGTAAGATTCACTTCTCGACTTCATGCAGTGATTAAACTGAATTATGATATTCCTTTTCCAAATGCAAAATGCAAGGATACAAAAATCCTGATTCATAGAAAGTCTTAGAAATAGGATCCTACTACTGAGAAGCAGAGTAGAAGTACCAGACAGACTCTTGATCAACATGAATCAAGCCTGTCATTTAAGAACACATGCCAAAGGTTTTTAGGTTTTTTTGGTTGTTTGTTTTGTGGGTTTTGGGTTTTTGTTTTTGGTTTTTTTTTTTTTTTTTCAATCCAGGTTGCTGCCTTTAACTTTCAATACACACTGAAAAGGAAAATTCCAGTATGGTTTATCATATTCCCTTTTTGTACAATATAATTCCAATTACAGCTGGCTGGATGCAAGCGTTCCATTTCATGGCCGGTTTCATGGCTCTCATATTTGGACTCGTTCCCAGAGGGCTCTTGGATAACTACCTTCTTTCTCCCCTCAGCCCTCTCTCTCATGTATGTCTACACCCAGAAACGTGGCATCGGGAAAAGGCGCTCAAGTTGGCGGAGAACAAGGCCAGCACATCTGGACAGTTTGCCTCTCTACAAAGTTGAGTTGCAGAAAGGTCAACAAGCTTAGGAGTCCAGAGTGACTAGACTTCATCCAGACCTCAGGTCTGACTGGCCAGCCAAAGTATCCCTAACTCCTGATTCCCTGCACTGCTTGTTTCTGAGCTGGTGCAAGCTGCAGTGTAACTACACCTTACCAGTGTAACTTGTCCTGCTTTCTCCATCCACTTTGGAATTATCACAAACTCCATCCTGCTGTTGTGAAATTTTCTGACTGAAACTTGAAAGTCAGCTTCAGTTCCTCAGCAGGTTTCAGTCTCAAAGAAACAGCAATTTTTGACATATAATCCTGAGTCAAAGAATTACCCAAACTTGTGGAACAGTTCTGGGAGTGGAGAGACAGGTATTGCCCACACTTACTTAGGTTAAAAGCAGAGCTATTTGGTATGTGTTGGGATATTTTTGCTTGATATGCATTTTTGAGGATTTGGGGTTGGGTTTTTTTTTTTCCCCTCAAGTAAAATAGAGATCAGGTTGTTCTGCTCACCTGAAGCCTGGACCTCCATGATGTACTGGTGTAAATCTTGCCCTTGCTGGATGACTTCAAAAGTCATGTTGTTCATTGCCAACTTCCGCTCGGTGTGACGCTGCAAACGCTGCTCAGCCAGAGTCAGGTCTTCGGTGTTGAAATCATTCATCTGCCTCAGCAGATCTTCATTCCAGGCATCTAACTCCGCTGTAACCTTGATGGGCAGAAGACAGGCACTGTATTCACTCAAGTTCAATGAAAAAAATCTTACTCTCAAGCCATGTTTGGCTTACGAAAGCACTTTATATTTTACTCTGATTCAGAAACCCTCCAACCACTGCCTCAGTACACTCTGGATCCTGCCCACTTAACATTTTGCTGAGGTGAGGATCCATGAAGAGATTACCGGTCCAACAAGAAATCTGACACCTTCTTTTTCCCTTACACATTCCAAAGGGCACTGTAAGAGAAGACCCACTATATTCACATGGGTGGTAGAAATAACGTTTCTGACTAAATTCAAATTTAAAGAATGTAAATGAAGAATTATGGAATTGCAAGACAACTTGTAACACCTGTGACCATATAATCCCAAAACGGCCTGATGTTTCTAACAACATTCTGCAACACACACGCATACAACCCCGCAGTGTTGATTGTACAATGAGTCCTATGCTGTGCTTTCAGGAACTTACAGTGCTTTATAAGGGCCTTTCTGTTTTCTTCAGTGGACTTGAGAACAGGCCCTGTGTAACTTTTTTTCTCCTGTGGATCTGAAAGTTTTTACACTGGTGAATGAATATATACAATCCACTTATACAGAAGGGGAAAGTACAGCACAGAAACATCATACTCAAGGGCCAGGTCAATCACCAGTAGAATCATGAATGGTACCTGATTCTAACCAAAGACTGGTTATTACTGGCAAATAACTCATGGGAACATGCAACATCATCTGTTGCCTTCTTTGCTTCTTGATTATAACATGCAGCCTGACTATTTTAGCCATCCATTTACTGTATGTTGTGTATTTTAGCCCACAGGTAGCCAACCCATATTAAAGCCCTTCTCTGGTTCTGTCTGTTCAGTTAAAGCAAAACCTAGCCTCCTCCCAAACAGTGCACACTCACCTCAACTTAGATTCTGCTGCTACAGACAAAAAAGAGGGAATGTGCTAGTGACAATGAGTAAGGGAGTGGGACACAAGGGGAATGGGAATTAAATCACACATATAGGCTAGTACTACGCAGAATTTTCGTAAGTATTTAAATTGTTTTAAATAAACACCTTCATTCTGATTCTTAGGGCAATTCCTCATAGCTGGATTCAGGAGAGCTCCAACTAGGTATCTGAAATCCCACTTGTGACAGGACTAGGGGTAATGGCCATAAACTGGAAAACAGAAGGTTCAACCTGAACCTGAGGAAACACTTCTTCACTGTGAGGGTGACAGAGCCCTGGAACAAGCTGCCCAGGGAGGTGGTGGAGTCTCCTACCCTGAAGACTTTCAAAAGCTGCCTGGACTTGTTCCTGTGTGATCTACTCTAGGTGATCCTGCTCTGGCAGGGGGGTTGGCCTAGGTGATCCCTAGAGGTCCCTTCCAACCCCTACCACTCTGTGAATCTGTGTTTTATGACGTAGTGAAAGGTTCTCTGTTTCTCACTAAAGGTGCTCTTCAGTGCCTGTGTGCAGTAAGATGTTTAACTTCCTAAGTGGCCAAGATTCAGAATTTTCTATCCAGTTTTCCATTCCAGAAAGCATACATTACATCCAACGCAGGCACAGGTAGGCAACCCAAACGGACCATCTCTCAGCTCTTCTCACATTTGAGAGAAGCAGAAAAGCAGATTTACTCAACCAAGAACCTGGGACCTCAGCTGCAGGGTGAAAGGCAGAGCGTGGACATCCTGAGGGGCTTCTATTTCATTTCAGCTTGTTCCATCACCCATTCCACTCAATTACCTTTAAATAACAGCTCTCTCTACAGTCTCTTTGGCTCCATTCCTGTTTCCAGCAGCCTCTGAATCATTCACACATCATGGCTAGACTTCCTGGATGGTGGAGGCTTATTGGCAGATTGAACAGTTATGGGGAAATGGTCAAAGGAGATTATAGAGAAGGGTTTTACTAGATACATTTACATTTAGAGACAGATCCCCAGCTAACGGCAATCAGAACTGAGGTGGTCTTGACCTTGTTTCAAACTACAAACAACAGAATGAATTTGGAGTAAGCACAGGTTCCTACAGTCACAACAATAACACTTAAAGTTCAATGCCAAATCTTCTCTGCTATTTCTAATGGAAAGGCATGGGATATAAGTGAATCAGAAGAGTTTTAATTTTTATGAACTATTACAAATACTGTCTGCTTGAATTCACTGCACTGATTATCAGGCTGCTAAAACATAATTATTTGAAATTTTACAAGGATTCACAAAGTACTTCCCAATTTCCTGTGAGTATTTCCATGCATACACACTCAGAAAGATGTCTAACAGCATTTATAACTGCCAGGAAGAGAAAAAGATTAAAACAATCAAGGAATGTGTTGCATTAGTTTGCTTTAACTACCATGATATTACAATTGGGGATTCTGATCAAAACGAAGTCCTTCCAACCCATTTCTGTCTATGGACATGATCCCCAGGACAGGAAAATGTAGATCTTTCAGAGGGTTGAATTGTCAGTGGAGTGTATGATGGACATACGAAGGAAACAAAAGTTTCCACAAGTATGCCAAGATCCAGCCCTTCTACAAAACTGCCTCTCTGCTGTGGTGCTGTTTCTCTTAGCAACTTTTCCACCAATTGTTGTAAATCTACAACAATTACCACTCAAGCAGAGGGAAATGGCTGTTCCTGACTGTACTGCTTTTTCCTCTTAGGCATGAGTATCCAAGACGGGTCACTAGCAGAGAGGCACCATCATTCAAGAGAGGCAACCAGTGCTCCTTGTGCTCATGTTGGCAGCCAGCCTTCACCAGACTCCCCACGCAGGAGCAGCTGCACCTAAACATTTACCTGTCCTGTCAGCCATTGCAAGGCACTGAAGGGTTTATGCTCCGTTATCCATCCGTGGTTCCAGTTAAAGAGGAAAGGACAGTACAGGCAGCCAGGACATGACTGATAAATTCCTCGGGATGCAAGGCCAGTCTAGGGGGTTTCATCTCACATTGCCAGGGCCAGGGGCTAAGACTGCACCTGAGAGGCTCTGGACAGTTGGACAGGTCTAACAGGGCCTTGTTAGCTCTGCCAGGACCAGGAGCACAGCCACCAATGGAGGGGAGAAGGAAGGGAGAGGGAAGTTGCCTTCTGATGAAGGAGTGACAAACACCCTATAGGCTGGGTTAGGGGAAGAGAAGAAGGCGTCAGGCACAGCAAGAGGTGAAATATCACCAAATTTTTCAGACAAAGTGTGTACAGGAAGGTTGGGTACGTGTCTCTGAGTAACTGAGACAAACAGATGGCTAGAAGGGAATCTGAAGTACACGAAGGCAAAGAAGAAATAGCAGAGCTGTGATAACAACCCAGGTTTCCTGAATCCCAATCTGGTGCCCTATCCCAGAGACCATGCTGCTTTGCATATCTCATTAAGACATTTCCTTTTCTGTTTGTACAGCCAGTGCCTCAAAATCCCAGCATTTTTTGTACTTCAAACAAGACCATTTGGAAATGGTCCCAGAATTTGAATTTTAGTCCCAAACTGGTCTGACTTGGGTACAGGGAAAATTATTTCTATTTCTTCATGAAGAAGCCATAATTACACAGCTTTGTTACCTACAGATCTATATTTTTCAAGTCTAAAAAAGGACTTTGGCAGCTTTCACAGGTTAGTCAGGCATTCACATCTATGGTGAAACTTGGAGTGCATCAGACAGAGGTGTCCTAAGCTGTGGTAAGAGCCAGTTGTGCTGGGCCTGTGTCAGGAATTGTCCTGAGAAAAGAACTGACAGCACTTCTTATGCTTATTCATTTTACTTCCCAGGGTTTGCGATTCTAAACAGACCTTAGCATCCCTCACATGCCCTACGAGAAGAACAGCTCTGCGCTGTTCTGCTGTGGCACAAGAGAGAAATCGTACCAAAGCCGAAGAGTGACAAGAGCAACAACAGTGCAGGCACAGATTGTCAGCCACGCTCCGGATGACTCCTTGGAAGGAGCCATGCTCCGTCCTTGCAGGTCATATAAAGCTGGTGGCCAAGAAACAGCTTCCTATTACTAAAGGAAGGTCAAGTGATCTCAGACTACTAATGAGAAAGACAGAACAAAGCGATTGACTGACAAACCTGGAAAGCCCATTTCTTCATTCTTCACCTGAAATAGGTGCTCCTGCTGCCATGATAACGGCAGAGGAACTAATGCTGGTAGTGAACCCAACCTAGTGTTAAAAGAGAAACCCGAGATGTCCTGATCAGAGCAACAGAAGCAGCCCAAGAGTTAACTTCAGCACATGAGCAAATACTGAGTTTGTGCTGGGCTCCCAGCTACTATCACAAGGTTATAATAGATACACAGAGTATGTCAAGCCAGGTCTGTTTTTCATGCAGACACAGCGACCACAGTCTAGACCACATACTCTTTAGGCAGGAATCCTCCTAAAGCAGCAACTTAATACACCCAAATTCCCACTGCTGCAATACTGCTGCATTTGCTGCTTCCTGGACTTACCATGTTGCAACACCAGCAGATAACATGACCAAAGGAAGAGAGACATGTTCATCTGCAATTCTGGAGAAAGAGGAGAGGTATAGAGAAGAGGTATGCAGGTGAAGAGTAATAGCAGTAATAAGTAATAATAACAGGAACAGTCCAGCCATCTCAAGCCTACATTGCAGCCTGCTTGTGAACTAGGATAAAGAGCCTACCCGAGCTGCAGCAGCTGCTGTGCAGGCAATTGTACATCTGCAACTATTTCATATCTAAATCCTAAGTATCTTTTTTTTTTTTTCCTGCTGCTGAGATTTTCTACAAAATGGTGCTGCTGAGCCTTGAATGTTGCTTGCTTGGCCTTGATTCAGTGTTTGACACCTAAAGTCATCTTGTTTAATGCCAACCAGAAAATTCTGTTTGCAAATTGAAGGAGGTGGAGAGGGGAAATGAGGAATCAAGCATAAGAAAATAAATGTTATATGGCAAATGAATCACATAAGAGCTGGTATTTTGAAGTATGAGCCGAGGAAGGGCATGTGAGGAACAGGGAAAGAAAGTTCTAT